ACCTTATCTGTATCAAGCACCTAGTACGATTCCTGGTCCAGGGAAGCTCCCTATAAAAGACCTCTATATTGCTGTTGTGATTCCCATTTAATGTGATAGTGTTAGGGGGAGTTGAAGGTTCAAGCGTGGCGCCTAAAACTATTCTAGGGAAAGTCAGAAAGCCGCAGCCCAGAGATGGAAACGAATCGGGAACCAGCAGGAACAGCCAGGGACAGAGGTGAAACCGGTTTGGAGGGTGGCCAAGGTATTGTAGTCCTATAATCTTGGCATATGAGGGGCTTAGGCAGGAAAATCTAAAGTTTGAGTATAGCCTGCACCACACAGCAAGTCCCCATGTCAAAACAACAACAACACAACACAACAACACAACACAACAACTACAACAAAGCCACCAACAAAAGCAAAGAAGAAAACCATGGGATGAGGCTCAGTTTCTAGAACCTGAAATAGATTTTCAATTGCATTATGGATAAACATTTTCTCTAACACCCCAGGCAGTTTTTTTTTACTGGATTGTTGTATGTTTGGTTTTCATGTGTGGACATCTTTTTTGGCTTTTTGAGACAGGGTTTCTCTGCGTAACAGCTCTGGCTGTGCTGGAGCTCACTCCGTAGATCAGGTTGGCATCAAACTCACTGAGATCTGCCTGCCTCTGCCTCCCAAGCGCTGGGATTAAAGGCGTGCACCACCACCACCTGGCTCCAGGTGTGGACATCTTAGTGGTGCTGTTTATTCTCAGAGAAGAGCCAGCAAGTCAAGTGTAGTGCTGTGAACAAGGGGGTGCTTACTGAAAGCAATTTCCATCTCTCTTTCACCTGTTGAAATGGAGACTGTGACAGCGTTGTTGAGGATTCATGGAGAAGAACAGGTGTTTGACTAGACTAAGATTACTGGGCAAACTACCTGGTTGAAGTGAAATGTGGGACTTGGCAACCAAGCAGCCTGTCAGATAAGGATTAATTCAGTGGTGAATGTAGAGAGTATGAAAACATGGTGGCGAGTCTCGTTCTTATCTCTCTATCCCTAGTCTGCAGCATGACTGAAGGAGAGAGGCAGGAGATGGCAGGCTGAACAGACTTGACTATAACATTTGACATGGATTGTGTTTCTCCTATAAGCCAAGCATTTAGAACACATCATCTCTAAGACCCTTTAAGATTCTATGAAGTAGGTACAGTTGTCCCTCATTATCCAAAGGGGATTGGTTCTAGGACCCTGTGAATATGAAAGTGCATGTATGCTCAAATATTTCATGTAGGATGGAATGGTATTTGCATATAGCCTTTGCAAGCCTCCCATGTATTTTATTTTATTTTTTTCCTCCCACATATTTTAAGTCCAGATTATTTATGATATTGACTTCACAGTAGATGTTATACAAATGACGTTTGGGAGGCTAATAACAAGAAGAAGTTTCTATATGTTCAGTAGAGGTACATTTTATTTCCTGAAACATTATTTTTAAATATCTGTATTTGGATGATATATGGAGGGCTATCTGTAGTAGCTTTATTTTATAGATGAGAACATAAGTACAGAATACATAAGTTGCTTGCCAGGATTACCCCAGATATTAAGTATCCTGAATTTGAACTTAGATCTGCCTGGTCATAAGGCTTATGTTCTTTCTCTACTGAATACCATTCTTCATCTATATTGTCCCCACAGAAGCAGATCTTGCTTAGAAACACTAGCTGGTCATGTGTGGGCATGGCATTCGTGATTTATTTACTATTATCTATTTATAGCCAGGGAGTGGGGAGAGGAATGTAAGTTAGACAAGTGGGGTGAGAAGAGGCACATGTGTATTGGATTGAGTATAGGAAGAAAAGGGGTTATCCTGAGCTCAAACGTGACCTAGGGTTTAATTTGATGCATGTGTTCTTGGCCATGGTTCTGGATGGTCTCTGGAACAACATTGACAAGCAGTGTCCAATCCAGCAGTGCCATTCAGAATTGGAATCCCTTCAACATTACTTTACACCTACACATGCATAAACACATACACATATGCCATAAATATGAAGACAAATTCTTAAAAAAATAGCATGCCAGACATATACCACTAAGTCATGAGCTGCTTATAAGATGGAAGTCTACCTCTTGGTTCTAGTAGTGTTTCTCCTACTTGCTGGATAACTGCAACTTCCTTTTAAAAGAGGCAGCACTGATTTGGGTGCATAAAGTAGGGAAGTTTGTCAAAAACAGCAAAGGGAAGAAAAGAAAGAGAAAAGGAAAGGAAAACCCAGCGTCAGTTTATACTTTTTATTAAAACTTTAAGAGGCCGGGCGGTGGTGGCATTGGCCTTTAATCCCAGCATTTGGGAAGCAAAGGCAAGCAGAGCTTTATGAGTTCGAGGCCAGCCTGGTGTCCAGAGCGAGTTCCAGGGCAGGCTGCAAAACTACACAGAAAAACCCTGTCCTGAAAAAACAAAAAAAAAAGTAATTGTGTAGAAATAAATATTTAGTCATATAAAATTTCCTTAATTTTCTTTCAGTGAGCAAGACTAATAAGAAATTAAAGCAATAAAACAAGCCTGACTTACAAAACCATTTAATCCCAGAGGGAATGTGACCCAGATCAGGGAGGGGCAGAGCTCAGGAATGTGTTGCTACGTTCTGTTCATTCCAGAACTTCCTAGGCCTCACCTGCACCTGAGTGATGACCAAAGCATGTTTTGCTTTGGTCACTTCATCCTGATGGCTGCACACTCACAAGAATGACAGCTAGGCTGAGCATGCAATTCCTAAGATCATCTCGTATGCACACGCTTGGGAATTCAGAGAGTTGACAGGGCCAAGAGAAGTTCCTGTTCCTTTCAAGCCAAGTGTGTAATAATATCAGTACCCTCCAGGAATTGGAGGCAATAATGCTGATCACATACTTCATAAGGAATACACCGATGATTACAGTTAGCTTGAGTGCTCAGGAACAATAGGAGGTTTACAAAGACATACTTTCAGCAACAAATTAATTATAACACATCTCTCTTGTAATACAATTGGGTCATGCTTTTGAAATCCTCTAAATTTTTTGACTGAAAGATGTCATGAACGTCTCAAGAATAATTATCATTATAAAGGTTTTTATTTTATATCATGTGGGACCAAAATACTATAAAGGAAGACTAATTCTTGAACCATAGATGTAGTCCTTCATTAAATCTATCACAAAACTGTTTTAGGAGAGCATTGGCAGTCACCTCTGTACTAATTCCGACTACTGTGACCCTAGGGAAACTTTGGTCAAGCTCTGGAAAACCTGGGCTGGTAATATAGTGTGGCAGGCAAGAGCAGACCACTTTAAATTATCCTTGGTATTATTTGGAAGGCAAGAAGCAAGCATGCTCGTGGAAACAGGCCTGGTGCCTTGTAACATCCACCCTATAATATAACGCTGTGTTTCTCAGCTCTTTTCCTCACTCCTGTCGTCTTCCATCTCTAAATGATGTTCCTCACCACAACTGAGAGCCAAGGCAGTAACTGCAGAGGAGGCATCAGAAGGACAGAGCCAATCTGCTGGATGTAAGAAAATTGTGCCTTGGATGCCCCTCCCTTAATTATCATAATATCCCCAGTTCTTTTGTTTTGTTTCTTTGAAACAGGATCTTACTATGTAGCCCTGTCTGGCCTGGAACTCATCATGTAGAGACCAGGCTGGCCTCATACCTACAGAAACTGACTTATTTCTGCCTCACCACACCAAACAAGACCTCAGGTTCTAATAGAAATTAGTTACCTTCTGGCAATCTTTACCTCATTATCTACCTGGAAGTATTTATGTTGTCTCAGTGGAGTTTCTCCAGCTCCCTGAATGTCAATTACTTATTTTCAATATCACAGGACGTTTTCAGAGACGGTTATTTCTTTTATCATCTTTTTTTTTCTTTCTGTTTTCTTCTGAAAGCTTTCGAGATTGCATCGGAGTCCCTGGCTTCTGAATGGTGGGGCTTGGGAAGCAGAGAACTTAACACGGAGATGCCCATTAACAGACCTTGGTTGATTTTAAGGCAAACAGTACTGGAGAGGCCCAGGGCACACCTAATTCAGGGTGAGCGCCCGGATCTGTGAGCTGGTGTTGCTTCAGCATCTCGCCGTGTGTTTGTGGGGAGCCTGCTTTTGGCTCCTCCCCTGCCCTGTCCACACTACCTTTCGCCTCCGCTTTTGCGTAACTATATTAATAGAAGGGAACACTCCACATCCTGGCGCTCAGGCCCCAGAGACAGGCTGGCTGTGGCTTGGCAGGTGGGCTTGTAGCAAGGAGATGGGTGGGGGGGTGGGCGGAGCCGCTCCGGAGTGGCGTTCTAAGTAGCCAATGGCAGGACGCGGCAGGGGCGGGCTGGCGGCCCTGTGACCGTTCAGCCAATGGAAGACGAGCAACTACTGGAGCGACCTGGTGACGTGAGGAGCGTTCCATTCCGCCAGCGGTGGGCGGTTGCCACAGCTGGTTTAGGGCCCCGACCATTGGGGCCCCCTGTCAGGAGGAGGCACCCTCCCTGTCAGGGAGAAGTCGCTAGCACCTTTGGCGGCTGACACGATCCCCAGGGACAGGGCACTTTCTGTCCTCAGTTGCTGGCCGAGTTCGGTCTTTCTCATTCAGGTAAGCAGTGGTGGGGGTGGGGGGGTCTCCGGGGCTCGGCTGTCTGGAGGGCTGCATCCCACTTCAGCTCCGCTGGCACCCGGGGACGTTGGCACCGCCCTGCTCAGCTCGCCAGCTGCCAAGCCCCTGGCCCGGGGTGACTACACGTGGCGGGGTGTGTGTGAGTGTGTACGAGCTTCTGGACGCGTATGCGTGTGGATGTGGCGCGCGTCCCAGTCAGCCTGGGGCGGTGGTCGGCTGCGTGGCGGAGGAGGCAGGGCGGGCCTCCTGAGAGGCCGAGCCCGCTGCTGCACTGCCCTGGCTTCTTGCACTCGGGCTGCTGAAGCCGGTCGCTGCTTCCCGACGGATTTTCATTTTCCTCCTCCTCCCAGGTTGGGCTCCCTTTCCTAGTCTGTGTTCTCCTGCTGGGTCAGTTTCTGAGGAGGAGATTGTTTTCCAGGTTAGTTTTTACACAAAGGAAGTGATCTTTGCACCTCTGGGGGCCCCCTCCCCTTTCCCAGCGCCTTCCACCTTTCCACCTCGCAGCTCAGCTTTTAGTCCTCTTTTGGACCTTTGCCCTCTTCTAGCTCCAGAATGATCTCTGGCTGGTTGTTTCTTGCTCATCAGGCTGCAGGCTTCCGACTCATTCTTGCCAGCATGGGGCATGTGGTGCCAGTAAATAGAGGACACAGCCCCACACCTGAGAGGAAGAGAAGGGGGTGACAGTGAGTGGGAAGGCTAGGCCTGGAAATCCAGGATGCTGAATTGAGCTGGTATTGGTGAAATGTCCCAAAAAGCCCCCAAGGGACTTACCTTAGCCACTGCCACCGCCCTCAGGCACCCCTCACCCCATCGCCAGTTACCAACCATCCCGGAATCTCTCCTGGTAAAGAAAGCCTTTTATCTACAGGGTGATGTGGTTTATTAAGAGTCCTACAAACGTGGGGCTAGACCAGCAAGACTGTTTCATTTTCGGACTCGGGAAGTTGCAAAAGGCTTGATTAGGGGAAATCTGGTTCGGGTAAATACAGTGTGTGTGTTCTGTACAGAATGCTCAGAACATCTTACCCCAGCCACAGGATTACTTGTTCCCTCCTGGAATGGATATTTTGAATGACTAACGGAAGAAAGAAGGCTAAGGCCTGGAGGAGGGATGGGAAGGGCTACTTAGGGACAGACAACAACAAGAATAACAAAAACCTACTACTGTTATTATAGGTGTCTTAATGAAGACTAAATAATATAGGGGTGTAGTGGAAAGTACCAGGGACTGGAAGTCAGTGCGCATGCTTTTCTTGTCTCAGTTTTGTTGCTGCGTGACCCTGAATATGTTATTTCATCTCATTGGTCCTCAGTTTACTTCTTTGTAAAATATAGTAATTAGGATGGACACAAAGAATTCCTGCTTCCTTCCAAGACTCAGAATTAACCAAATCGTCAGTATTACTTTGGAAACGGGATTTATTATTTAAATATACTAGTCTCCTCCCCTTTTGGAGAGCTGTTGTGTTTGTTTTCCTCTTTAGAGAACAAACACAGATTAGAAATAAATACTTCAGACCTCCCCGTTTCCACTCCTTCAGGCAGTGCTCATCTTTCTGTCTCTGGTAATGAGGGTTCAGTTGCATTTTGTTATTCTTGTCTCACCTTCCCCCCTTTTCTTATTTTAGGGCTCTTGATAATGTTTGACCCAGTGGCAACAATAGTAGACGCCGTGATTTCAAAGCTGGGCTCAGCCTCTGTTTCTGCTCTCCTGTAGTCACAAAGCCCGTTTGGACCAGGATCTCCAGTCATGTCTGTGATGGTGGTAAGAAAGAAGGTGACACGGAAATGGGAGAAACTCCCAGGCAGGAACACCTTCTGCTGTGATGGCCGCGTCATGATGGCCCGGCAAAAGGGCATCTTCTACTTGACCCTCTTCCTCATCCTGGGGACATGTACACTCTTCTTTGCCTTCGAGTGAGTTTTCATTGACTACGGTTGTCTGATGATGGTTAATCTGGGTCCAAGGAATGAAATTGTCTTTCCTGGGTGGCTCTTGCATGATTTCACTCTTCTCGTGAACAGTGTCTATAGGCTGTGTCTATTGAATTCACTGCTTTGTGGTTATAGTAGAATACATACTCCATAAAAAGACCAGGGACTTTAATGTCAACTTCATAGCACTGGTGGGAATAACCCCTGACAAACAAGGGGTTTGTCTTAATTATTTACCTTCTTTCATTGACAGTAACTTAGTAACAAATTATTTCTTCTCTACCCCTCCCAGGTCTGGGAGTAGCCCCCATTGTTATAACACCTCCCAACAATATCCACTTAATCTGCTATTTTGGATCCTATTTCTATAAGGCCTACTTCTTACTTAGCTGTTAAATTGAAAAACTGAACTGAAGATTGGTTCCAGCATCAGCTGTACCACAAAGAAGCTGTGGGAATGCCATATAGGTGCTTTTGAAGCGTGGTTGTTCTTTCTCCCCCCGCCCCAATCACTCAGTATTAAAAAAAATAAACATTCTATGTTGGCCTACTGTTAGCCTTGAAATTATTTTTTTCTGTGACGTGACACCCAGTGCCAGAGACGCTGTTCGTTGTGTGTATAGGTCACTGCTTCAGGGAGGTGGCCAGTTGGGAGTCTCATGCACTGTGGCATGACAACTGGGTATGCTGAGAATGAGTCTCCACTAGGGATGGGAGCAGTGTTAATTGTTTTGGGATTACTGTGTTAAGGAGGACCTTGAGGAAACAAGAGGTGTACACATGTCTACCGAGGCCACACCTACTATGAGCCTGCCATGGCTTGTGTTCATGGGTGACCTGGAAATAAGAGTTCCCATGCTGGGGTGTGGCTGGAAGGTGCCAAGGGGGCTCCTTGGCCAAACTGAGTAAGTCATTAAATGATCTCCAGATCATTGAGACTCACTTTTGTCTTTCTCTAAGGGCTAGAGGCTTTCACTGTGCATCTCAGAGTGACTGGGGGGCAACTTTGCTAGACTTTTGATGATTGCATCTGGCTTGAGTAACAGCAGTGGGAAGAGTGTTATGATGTTCTATAACAGGGCTGGTAAAATAAGATCAAATGAACTCTTAGTTAAAGGTCCTTTTGTTGTTATTGCCACTGACTTGATGGAGGTTTTCCATGAAGTTAGACAGGCTGCTGAAGGCTTGTTACCTGCTTTCCATTCTGAGTTTTACAACTCAGTGTGTGTGTGTGTGTGTGTGTGTGTGTGTGTGTGTGTGTGTATACATCACCATGTGCTTATGTGGGTTACAAGTGAGCATGTGCATCCAGGAGGGTTATACATAGCACAAAACAGTTTGTTTTCCTTCACCTCACTCTTCTTTCTACATTTTTCTTGCTTCGTTCCTGCTTGTCTTCTTGATGGAAGTACAACGTTGAATCCTGCTCCCTCTCTCTTCTTTTGGTCCCCCCCCCCCACCTCTGCACTTAGATGTTTATGATTTGAATCTTTCATGACCGAGATGAAACTTATTTTCCGGCTCTGAGTGACTTGGTAGTTCTGGGTTCAGGAAACCTGTGGTTTGGTCAGAGAAACATAGGATTTAGAACTGTGGCTTTTGGGCCTGTTTTTGTACCTGGAAGGCTTAAAGAGACTGTGCCTTGGATCTGTTCCACTTAGGCCCCTGAAGGCCTCTGAAGAAAACTGCCCATGGGATGAAGCTTCTAATTAGCTAAATTACTGTTCAACAGAAGCTTGATAAGTTTTCTTCTAAGACAACTCCCATTTAAAAGTTATTTCTTGGGGTTTTAATGTAGACACGAAGTTTTGTAAAACTGTCCCGAGTTTCAGCTGTCTGTTTGAAAGAGTAAATAAATATTTCAAAAGTAAAGGCTGGGGGAGGGAGGAGAGAAGGAAGTAAATGTGTTAGCTTAGTGGAATGGGGAAGTGTAAATCTGACCGAAGAAAAGAGGACTCCCGTGATGAATGCTTTTAGGTAATGAATTCTTTTAATAAGGTAGAATCTGGTGTGTGTGTGTGTGTGTGTGTGTGTGCGCGCGCGCACGCGTGTGCACGTGCATGCATGCATGTGCATGTGTCTGTTTGGCATATGCAGGCACATCGATAATCAAAGTGGTGGCTACTTTGTACCTATCTAATGGTAGGCTGTGCAAGGTACAGCAACATAAGAATGAGGAATTGACTTTTTTTTTTTGGTAGACTAGTCTATAATTTACTCTCAGGCAAATAGTGGAGGGTAGTAGGGTTTGGAAGCCAGAGTTGGGGCCCTAATGTTAGTATTAAAATGTGATGAGACCCAAGGAAAGCAGATCTAGTCTCTAATTTCAGGCAGCTGATGATGACATTTGACATTACACTCGATTTTAACCAAAACACCAAGAAGTGATAGGAGAGCATATTTGAATTCACAGATTGCTTCCTGTTGTCATTCTTAAATTATCTGTGAGTCTAGATTCTCTATTCTGTCACACTTTTGCCACTCAGGAAGGTAGTTCAAATCTTGATACACATCTGGATGTGCTTTTTATCAACCAGGTCCTGTTGGCAGCAGGTGCTTAGGAACAAGTGTGAGCAGACTTATGACTGTGTTTGGCCTAGCTGTGGGCCAGCCAGATGGTTTGAGCATTCTGGTCAGTCATGTGGGTGCCCCCTTCCTGAAAAAAATGTGCCTTGTTGGTACTAGTGCCAGCCTTGCACTTTGAGATTTTACTTTTCCAAATCTTGAGTGTTCAAAAGAGAGATGTGTAATTTTCAGTGAACAGGTTACATGTTGGATACCTAAAGCAACCTGAGAGCAGTTAGCACCAAATTGTGAGAAGTATTTCTGAAGAAGTGAGGTGGCCATCCCTTAAGGTTGCTGTCACAGATTGGAAATTCCGTGTGAAGTGGTAGATCTGTTGGAATTCTGCATAACTGAGTCTGAAAGGATGTGAGGGTGCATACGGGGGGTATAGATTACCAATCGGTAGTTGTATTTGTGGGAAGCATATATACATTTAAAAGTGGAGTGAAAATTGTAAAAATGCATAAAGACAAAGGATGTTCTGATTAATTCGGGGGAGAGGTATTTAGGAAATGTGCTTGTGGATGCCAGTTTTAGCTTTCAGCACAAGGAACAATATTGAAGCCCTTCTGCTCAAACCCTGTCCAGCTTCCACCAGAACATTACAGCAGAGTGACATTGATAACCTGCGAGCTGTCCAGCTACTGAAAAGCTTTGGTGATTAGGTGGTTTAAATCAACTTCCTGATGAAGTGTAGACCTGGGAAAAGGATCAAACACACTGTCCTCTGAAATGAACTTTATAAACGTTCTCTTTTAACTGTCTGACTGGTTTTCTAGTGGGGTCAAAGTCTCCAGACTTTTTATGTGGCAAGAAAGACTGTATGACTCTTGACCCCTACATAGTAGTGCCTTGCTGCTGTGATTGGTGCTGATGCTCTCTGTGTGCTGGATGTGGAAGAAATTGAATAAAGGTGCTGTCAGACCTTTTTTTTTTTTTTTGTCAGACTGGTCCCCATGGGTACCATCGGTGTGCATATTAGAAGAGAAGTCACTGAATCAGATAAACTAGAAAAGAGATTTATATTATTGCTTAGTAATTAATCTCAGTTCTCCTAGCACACCCAGATTTTCCTCCCTCCTCTTTCAAGTTCCTTGAACTGTACATTTGCTCATTGTACAATAATGTGACATGTCTTACATTTCTGAGTTTTTTCTTTGATTTTCTGTGTGTGATGGGATCTCAGGTAGCTCAAGACAGCCTTGAATTTCCCGTTTGGCTAAGGATGACCTTGAGTTCCTGATCCTCCCACTTCTAGGAGTACTGGGATTAGAGGTCTGTGCTGCCACACCCAGCCTGGCTGTTTTTCTCTTTCTATTATGCTTGCACTCGT